AATGAGAGGGTGAGCGGGAGATGGTGGACTGAGAAGAGGAAGAAGAAGAACTCTCTCTCTCTCTCTCTCACGAGCCAGGTACTAACCTGTGAAGTTGGCGCTGTGATGCAGGTACCTCGAAGACGAAGCTGGAGCAATGGCGCTGCAGGTAAGTATCCCTGGCCTCCGCCCAATCTCTCTCTCTCTAGTACTATCCTAGCTATGGCGCCCAGCGCTGAAGACTACAGCTACCTACTGCGCCCAGCGCTGAAGACTAATGCTAACGCTACTACTACTCCTGCAGCGCTCCCTCCAGAGTGCTGCTGCCGAATCCTGAAGACTACTTACTGCCTCCTGCCTACCTGCAGCCTGCAGGGCGGGCCAGTCTTATACAGTGCTGGCCCGTCCAGGAGGCTGCTCTTGCCAATGCCAAAACGTGCTAGACCCTGAGGAAGCTTCCGGGAAGTTTCCAGGTAGCTCCTGGAAAGCAGAGGAAGCTTCCGGGAAGTTTCCAGGTAGCTTCTGGCTAAAGCCTGAGGAAGCTTCTGGGAAGTTTCCAGGTAGCTTCTGGCTAAGGCCTGAGGGCCTGTAGGCCCTGGTTTTCAGGCTGTCAGGCTGAAACAGACACGGGGCCTGTAGGCCCTGGTTTTCAGGCTGTCAGGCTGAAACAGACACGGGGCGTGTAGGCCCTGGTTTTCAGGCTGTCAGGCTGAAACAGACACGGGGCCTGTAGGCCCTGGTTTTCAGGCTGTCAGGCTGAAACAGACACGGGGCCTTTAGGCCCTGGTTTTCAGGCTGTCAGGCTGAAACAGACACGGGGCCTGTAGGCCCTGGTTTTCAGGCTGTCAGGCTGAAACAGACACGGGGCCTGTRGGCCCWAKTTTTCAGGCTGTCAGGCTGAAACAGACACGGGGCCTGTAGGCCCTGGTTTTCAGGCTGTCAGGCTGAAACAGACACGGGGCCTGTAGGCCCTGGTTTTCAGGTTGTCAGGCTGAAACAGACACGGGGCCTGTAGGCCCTGGTTTTCAGGCTGTCAGGCTGAAACAGACACGGGGCCTGTAGGCCCTGGTTTTCAGGCTTTCAGGCTGAAACTGACACGGGGCCTGTAGGCCCTTGTTTTCAGGCTTTCAGGCTGAAACTGACACGGGGCCTGTAGGCCCTTGTTTTCAGGCTTTTGGCCTGAAAACAACATGGGGTCTGTCGGCCCTCATTTTCAGGCTTTCAGGCTGAAAATGACACGGGCCTGAAAATGGCCCGTGCAGCCTGTTGCAGGCGCAGCATGTAACACCTAACCATAGGCCTCTTGTGCCTGTCTCTTGCAGTCTGCTCTGCTGGTGAGTATGGAGGACCCAATGAGGTTCTTCTTTCCTCTGCTCTTCTCCTCCTCTCCCTCGCCTTCCCCTCCTCCCTCCCCTTGTGTACAACTTCTTAATGTATGAGAATAAGCATCACTAAGAGTGCCGTAAAAATACTTGATACTACTTGATAGTACTTGTTACAGCGACTAAGCAGGACTTCTGAATGCATACGAATAAGTATCACTAGGTGTGCTGAATGGCAAGCGGGTGTGTATGCAGGACGATGCATCCCGCACTTAAGTACACAGGCGTGATGGGCCTTGCACCATTCAGAATACAAAAATCCATGCAGGATGTGAATTCGCGTTGTCACAGTGACTGTCCACACGACATAAAATTGGAACGATACAGAGAGAGAAGATTAGGAAGCGGGTGTGTATGCAGGACTATGCGTTCCGCGCTCAAGTACACAGGCGTGGTCGGCCGTGCACCATTCAGAAGACAAAAATGAACAGGCCATATTCTTCAAACCAATATATGTCTGGAAGTGATATAGACAAACATTTTTAAAAACATCTCAAATAAAATTGTAAAATCTGGTTGATTTCAATTTTGGATGGACACGTCTGCATAGAAAAGGGGTTACAGTGACTGTCCACACCACATAAAATTGGAACGATACAGAGAGAGAAGATTAGCATGGCCCCTGCGCTTTCAAGGATGACACGCATAAATTGAGAAATGGTCCAAATTATTAAAAAAAGAAGAAAAAAAAAAAGAAGAAAAAAAAAGGGGTTGTTACAGTGTCTGTCGACACCACACGCACGTACACAGATGCCTGCATTCACATCCATGCAGGATGTGAATTCACGTTGACTCATACACAACCCCATGCCTGTAAGAAGGTAGTGGAGGCACATATGCGCACGCATGATTAGCTTCTGCTCCTTGCATCGCGACCCTGCACTTCTTAGTGACTTCCTCTAATTCGCTTTGGCCCGATTGCTCCTCCATTCCAAATGAGAATGATGCACCCTCTGATCATTTGATGCAACTCCGGTCTGGAGACGAGCTGTCTCCGGAGCACTTGCCAGAGCCAATGGAGCTACTCGGCGCCACGACGGCGTGACAAAGCCAACTGATCTCATTGTGCTACAGCGAGGCCACTGCGGGTACTATATGCCCATTGATATGTCTCCTATCTTACAATGGCAACCCCTATACTCTTTTCTGATTTTGCAGACCTTTTCTGCTGCATAGAAGCACAGCACTGTGCTGTTTGCCCAGAGGATGACAGTTCTGTGGCTGGCATGAACGTGGTGCAATCAGACTCGACTTATTCACACTTTTCATGCACGTGAACAGCAGCACACAACTGGCGACATCCGCCCACACAGTACACAGAGATATGTCTTCCAGGTAAGTTCGCTTCCACTGGCTATGGCGACTGAGCGCCCAAGCAACTCACTGTTCACACTCTGGATCACCCTGKATGTCCCACACGCAAHACTCTGTAACCACACGCAACACACACACACACTACTACAGCTATGGCAGCGCTAGCTGCCACTACCCTAGYGCTATACTACACTCCTCTGCCCACTTCGTCTTCGGGCACACTGCAGACCTCCTCGCACAAGCTGCTGAGGCAGCGCTTCTGCATGGCATCCGCAGGAATGAATGAATGGCTGGACGCAGCCTCTTGATTTATACTTCTGCGCTGCGTTGGTCTGCCCTGTGTCCCTTGGCCCTTGGTGCACACAGTCCCAGACGGTACTTGCTGGACAGGACCGGACTGCCTAACTGGGACTGTTGACTCAGCGAGGTGGCCTACCACCACTTGACCACTTGCCTCTGTTCAACGCAGGCTCACTCCGAAAGGCCACTTCTAGAAACCTCTGACTTGGCCTTTCGGTACTGTAGCAGCTACGACTTTGCCCCTTCAGGTAAGTAGCAGCTACGACCTTGACCCTTCAGGCATCCTACAGCTACGACTTCGGAACTGTCTAGACTCCTACCCTACAGGTCTACAGTTCGATTCCCTTCTACCCTGTGACCTACGAAACCCTACCTACCACTGGCGGTCCTACAGGTCGCAGGTTCAAGTCTACGGGTTGACACTGGTACTGTACACAGGTAAGACGGGGAACTAGGGATCGAGCCCTGGTATCTGCATTCGTTACTGCGAACTGGTGAATACCGTTTCAGTGGAAGTGCGGTCTATGGTATTTATGGGAAGACGACTGCAACTCCAGCCCGCTCTGCAGAATGTTTTGTGCTTTTATCCTGTATCGCCCGCGTCATTTCAGTGCTATTACCTTTGCAGATAAGTCATAGACCCTGTGGGCAATTATAATCCCTGGGTAATATTCACCGAGTGGCGAAGTCCCACTGGATCTGACTTCGTCAATCGGGAACAGTATGTAGAACAATCTGACCGACTCTCCCCCCTACCCTCTACCGCCCCAGGCTTCCATCTCTTGCCTGTCCAGATCAGATGGATTCTGCCACTGATGGTGAGGGGGCTGCTGCGTCAGAGGACAGTGACTGTGCCATGTCATGCAGGCAGAGAATGGTTAGCATGTGCACGTCATACTGTCTGCTCTGATCACCATGAAGGGATGGTCACTGCCAGCCTCTGCCATGAAAACTGTGACTCGGCTTATCTTGCATTCATCCCCCCCACCCCGTTATTAGTTGCCCGATATGCTTTTGTGGCCTTGAGATGCCATGCTCAAATAACTGCGATTGTGAGCCTGCTTTCCTGCTGGCGTGCTGGGAACATGCCATGTGTCGATAATCTTTTCAGGAAGCTATCATAGAGAGCATTTTGTCTCTACTGCATGCATGGACTATCCCCATAGCCATCAACCACCACATCCTCTCCATTTGTGTCCCATTCCTCGGGCTGCACCCTTTTTTCATGTCCCGCATGAGGAACAGACACAGCAGCCGAGGTCGAGAACAGACTCTCATGGGAACCGCTTGCAGTGTAATGTGTACTGAAAGGTTATCACTGGCGGGGCGAGCTGTTGCAGACTGGATGTTGAAACAGCTCAATACCCTTGCTTTAGATAAGGCTCCGTCATTGCCTGTCCATAGACAGGGAATGTGCGCTGTGGATCCCCAAGAGAGGTGATCAATGCCGCAATGTGATGGCACACCTGAGGTTGGGCTAACTTCTTCCCCCGAATACAACGTACCGTCGTTATAGCTGTGTATTTAGACTGAAAGATGCACCAAATACAGCTATGATGATTGTACGTTGTATTCGGGAGAAGAAGCTAGCCTGTGATCAGCATGCTGTGTTATGAGGATTAGGAGGATATATCCCCTCCCAAGTTTTAGTATGCTTAGAGACCTATTCAGAAGGAACTGCCTCTGGATCAGCTGAGAAACAGGATGCAGCAAGACCTTAGGGAATCAAGTGACGAGCCTCCCAGAAGCATGAGCAGAAGCTAGACAGTACAAAGGAAAACCAAAAGGGATATGAACAAGGTGTTCCCTGCTGGGGTACCGGTCAGGCATGGGCTTCACCCGGAGGGTGGCTACGGCGGAAGTAGAGAGGAGAGACATGGCAGTAGTTGCGTTGGCGTTGTCCAGTGAACATCCATGCTGGGCATGGATGAGCTGCCATAGCTAGATGTCATGCCAAGTGAGGTGGAGAGAAAAAGGAGACCAAGGGCGAGCTCTTTCTACATTGCCAGTAAGGGGAGTCGTTCGGACATTGATTCTTGTTCATTCATTTATTCATTAAATTGTTTTTTATTTCATTGTGGATAAAGAGCGGGGTGGTTATGTGAGGGAGATCATGATGGCAAGAAGTGACATTCGTTCAAAGTTCAAACTCCTCCTCCTCCTCCTCCTCCTCCTCCTCCTCNTCTTCTTCTTCTTCTTCTTCTTCTTCTTCTTCTTCTTCCTCTTCTTCCTCTTCTTCTTCTTCTTCTTCTTCTTCTTCTTCTTCTTCTTCTTCTTCGACGTCGTGGTGTTTTCTTCATTCTTCTTCTTCTTCTTCTTCTTCTTCTTCTTCTTCTTCGACGTCGTGGTGTTCTCTTCATTCTTCTTCTTCTTCTTCTTCTTCTTCTTCTTCTTCTTCTTCTTCTTCTTCTTCTTCTTCTTCTTCTTCTTCTTCGACATCGTGGTGTTTTCTTCATTCTTCTTCTGCTTCTGCTTCTTCTTCTTCTTCTTCTTCTTCTTCTTCTTCTTCTGCTTCTTCTGCTTCTTCTGCTTCTTCTGCTTCTTCTTCTTCTGCTGCTGCTTCTGCTTCTGCTGCTGCTGCTCCTGCTTCTTCTTCTTCTTCTTCTTCTTCTTCTTCTTCTTCTTCTTCTTCTTCTTCTTCTTCTTCTTCTTCTTCTTCTTCGACGTTGTCGTGGTGTTTTCTTCATTCTTCTTCTCTCCTGATCTCATTCCACTTCTTCGTGGGTTGTGATGAATGGCATTGACAGGTGGGCCGGACTAGTCTCTGAAAAGAGCTTTCTATCGCCTCCTTGGCCTTCCCCCATTTGCAAAGAGTCTCTGCTTCCATCATGTTCTTCATTGCAGCACAGACTGCGTTGAGTGCATTCTTGGTGTTGTCCGGAGTCAAGTCGAGGGCCGTGCTTAGTAGGCCCCTTGCAGCCAATGAGGGCGGCGTTCCCGGCGTGGGTTTGGGGACCTTGCACTCGAGTTACGAGGGACTCTCTGCACATGCTTTCGGTGGTTTCCTGTTTGCGGTCGGAGGGGCGCTTCATCCCTGGACTGGATGGTCGGCCGAGAAAGGAGGTGTTGTCCAGCGTCCTGCTGCTGCATCTTCCCTTCCAGATTGCCGACAATGTGATTTTTCAAATCACTCCGAACCACTGTCTTTCTGGCTTGCCTATGTAGCTGGGATAGGATTTTAGTCCATATAGGAGAGAGAAGCTAGATAGGGTGTTCAGGAAAGGGAGAGGAGAAAAGGTGGTGGTCCCACAGGTTGGAAGCTCTAGCTTATAGTTATGTTGCTTCGTTACGTCTTATTAGACAGTGTATGACGTCTGCTGGCATGCGGTCTGAACAGACAAGGCTCAGGTCCGTGCTGCTAGGGTCCCTATTCGTCCTCCTGATATGGAGAGCCACTGATTGACTGGTAGAGCGGCATGAGGTGATGAGCCATTGGAGACTTCTCACTTTGCCTTTTTTTTCTTTTCTTTTCACAAATGATTTCAGTCAGCGACTTCTTCTTCTTCTTGTTCTTCTTCTTTCAGTCAGAGATCTCTCACTTTGACTTTATCTAATTAGATTCGCAATTTTGAATCCTCTCTTATAAGCCTTGCCCATCTGCTCTTATTAATTGTTGGTTTGGGGTTTTTGTCGTAAGTAGCATCTCTTTTTTTTTTCCTTTTTTTTTTTTTTATAAAACAAAACAGCCCCTTCTATTCTGGGGGGCACCAGTCCGGTTGCTTAACCCTTTTTTTTTTTTCCTGAGGGGKGGGAACCTCTGGGCGCTCCGATCTATTGGTGGGGAGTCTCACCTGCTGCAAACCGGGTCCAGCGTCCCATTGTACAATCGTTCTCCTCTTTCTCCTCTGCTGGGATCCCTCTGCTGGGATCTCATAACCCAGTTTAACCGTGTAATCTGTTATTTTTAGGGTTTAGACTCTTTAGAGTTTTTACTTTTGACTCTCTTTGATTTCCATGCCCACTCAGAGATAGCCCCAAAACAATTTGATCACTTTTGAGGGTGGTCAAATTCCTGTCCCTGGACAAGTGTGCCTACTTGAAATATTGTTTTCTGCCATAGCCCCAAAACTCTTTAAGCATATGGTGTACACATTGAGGGGGATTGTTGAGGATGGATGGGGCTTCAGGATTGGTGTCGCCGATGTGGAACGCTGTGAACACAGCCGAGTAGTTGCGGTTGTCCCGTCTGTGTGAGAATTGATGGGCTCGAGTCGGTATGAGCTCCTGGACTTGTACACCCCACTCCCCGACAGAAGGTTAACCGACCCCCCATTTTTCACCTCCATTTATAAAAAAAACAAAGGGTCATTTTAACCATACTTCACACCAATCTGTAGAGTGCA